AATTCATATTTGAATGGTAATTAATCTGGCAGTTATCAATTTTTTTTCCAATTAATAGTAAGGCATTGTCAACCCAACCGTCCTCTGAGCCACAGTTTAATATTATCAGTCGAGTGCCTTTATTTGGAGGGATACCTAAGGCTTGGCAATATTTATTATCGTTTGTCCAGCCCTTTTTTGCAGTATCATGCGAATCATACCACGTTTCATCCAGAAAATAAATTGGCCTGCTTTCATTTTTATATTTACGAATTTTCTGTAAATAAGAATTTCTCCAGTTTACTATTCGTCTTGTTTCCATCACTGCGCTTCTTTTATCTATCGTTTTGTATTTAAAACCGATTTTTTTTAGCCAATTATACAATGTAGACTTTTTTATATTTGTATCGAAATAAGTTTCACTTAAGCGTCTATGTATAATATCAAGAGTGGGAATGGTATTTTGTTTATAAAGTTCACAATGGATTTGGCCATGGATGGATCTAATTTTTTTTTGCACACCTTTGTCTTCACAGACTTTTCTGCTGGAAATTCCATTTTTTATAATTTGGTTCATTTTATAAACCGATATACCAGTAAGAAACGCTGCTTCTTGCACGGTAGAAGTGTTTTCGATATATCCACGTTTTAACAAATTTTTATAAACATTTAAACAAATTTGCTGGGACTGTTCATTTAAAAGAGTTTATTTTTTATTTGCGTAGGCACTGCATTAGTTTCTCCATCACTGTTTGATGTACTGGTGCTCGGAATACTATCCCACGGTCTCCACATAGTTAATAACACATACACAAAAATTATTATTCGTTTATTAAAATTACTATATAACCTCCAAAACACAAACTGTTTATTGATAAAACGAAACTAAACACTAATAAAACAGAAACTAATATTCTATAAAATTTTAAAAAGTACGATGCAGGAGCTGTTATCCGTACAAAACTCAACAGGTCACTAAGATGAACAAAACTCCACTGAAAGTAAAAATAATTATTTTTATTCAAATACGTTTCATTTTCCTTTTCGGCATTGGTTCGGCTCTTTAAATGGACAAAGACAATATGCCGACAAAGACAATATGCCGACGAAGGCAATAGCCGTCAAAGGCGATACACCGCCAAAAACAATATACTTACAGAGGCAGTATACCGACAAAGCTATTCACGTTTCTTGGAGAAAAAATGCAAAATTTTATCAAAAACACTGAAATCGTTGAAGGAAAACATCAGTTATAAATCACACTTATTTTATTCTAATTAGGTATATATGTATATAAAAAATTACTATTTTAAATCTTCAAATCGAAAGAAACATATACCTATAATACATACATATAATTAAATTATTAAGTAAAAACATATATCTCCGTCTATGGGCGGTCTATCAAAGAGTTAGTTTAGCTGACTTCCGACAAGCAACCCGTTCCCTATACCAATTATTTTTGCGGTATTCCTTTATAGTTGACTTATTGTTTGGATGGACTATACCATGTACGTTTTTTGGGCGACATTTATCTCTTGGATCAAAAAGACTCTGGCTGCATCCTGTTGCCCTCCAGACGATAACATCTATATAAAACGAATTTGGTACATAAATAGTTATAATATCAACACTATTATTATGGATCTCGGGATTTTTGATGTTGCAGATCTATATGTTGCATAGTCCGTGTTAGCAAAGCCACGAACAAAAGCTACTAATTTCTACTGTTAATTTAGGTAGAAGCCACATATAAAATGTAAAGAATTAGTTATGACTAAACCATATCAGCTAATTTAGCTAATTTAATAATGATATATAGTACTATATTTCATTTTACATTAAAAGAGAGCATTTTGCATACATTTGTTGTGATAAAAACTAATTTAATATAAATACTTATATATTACAAAATACTGTGTTTGATTTTTACTTTATCTTGAAAACACTCACATCAATGTTTACTGGTTTTTAGGCTGATTATCACAAAACATTTCTGGGAATTTACTCTCTTAATTGCCAAATGGAAGATACATAATTATCGTAAAATAACCAATTCTATTAAGGCGATTACAGCACCCCTTATAATTTTCGGACAAGGATATCTCAAGTAATTATTTTAAAAAATTAAATTTTGGCAAAATAAATTAGGCAATAATATCTAGAATATGCATATATTTTAAAGTTTTAATTCCTTCCAGTTTCCGCGAAAAAATCTAAGGGCTTTAAATTTTGCCAACAGCACTATTCTTAATATAATCCCCAAATTTAAGCTCTTAATGTCTTGTTAATGTTTTTTAAAATTCGCCAAAATAGTCCAAGCGGTAGTCCACAATAGACCAAAAGGTCGGAAAGAAATGAAATTGGTGGTTGGGAAATAGCGCCGTTGTGGTAACTGCTATCGAAAAAAAGTTCAAATGAAAGATGTACAGGACAAAATCGTGCGCAATTTTGACCTTTACATTTTTTTGTCTACGACCAATAGTTACCGCTCTACGACGCGCCAAAGTAGGGGGCTGATTTGCAATGTTTAACAAAATGAGAACTTCAGCGCGGATTAAGACGAAGATCGCTATGAAACAATTATGTAATATATTTTTTCTAAAAGAGTAATGATTTCTGAGTCTACAGATGCCCGATTTGATACATTTGGTCGTATATAATAAATTATATGATCTTTGAAGCGCTCCCCTACATAATCCGATATAAACATTTTGTAATTATCAGTATCTATGATCAATATTTCCTTATTAATGTTGATCTAGGCGCCAAAGTTATTCTTTTTGTGCATACATGATACAAGAAAGTATCATTTTCAACTCGTTTCCACACCACCCTTGAGATAGAGTTGATCGATACGTTTTTTTAACTTGGTATCCCCAAGAGGCCTAATCCACAGTCGATATTTGGGTTTATTCATCAAACTCGGCGTTGTATGTTTGGTCCTGATCGTCCTGTAACTGATCGTGAACGTTTTCGGCATCTTCTGCATTGTCGTCGTCTAACGCAATCTGGTCCGGAATGTTTTCGCAGGACATCCCAACATCCCAGTACAGTGTAAACACAGAATCGAACTTTTCAATCCTACTTTACGGCAACCACAAGGAGATCCACAACCTTTCTTGCATCTGCACGAGATGCTCTTAAGTAAAACATCTAGAGCTGGTTCCTTTGCCTTCCGTATTGCGTCCAGTCCTGTGGTTCTTCGCCATCCATGATCTTCTGGAGGTTTCTGAACTCCCCACCAGATCTGTACTTGACAATAAGTACGCAATTAAGGATGATAGCACGCATCTGATGTTGGTGGCAGCGCCACTAAATTGAATGCATTTTTTGAGACTTCGGTTAATTCGGCATTGGGGTCGTCAAATACCTGAATCGCGTCTGTTAATGTTGGGTTTTTTCCAAAGTGTTGAGGAATCGAATTTGGCCTTGATTGGAAGGGACGAAAGCTGGGAACGCACAGAACTGGTTGAAAGGCGCAAGCGGCGACCGTTTTTGAGTATCTCCGTCCTCTTTACCTGCCTGTCCCTAGCCAATGTTCGATTTATGTTTAGACGTATGATCTGTGTACCTATAGAAATAATAAATAGTAATAATATAGGCTCAGGCAAAAATTCTTTTCATTGCTACATAATAAAATTTGCAATTTTGTCAACATCGAACAAGAGGCGGGTACCGCCTTTTATTTTGATATAGCTAAAATAATAGACGGTATCTGCCTCTTTTAGCCGTTACATATTGAAAAAATGGCAAATTTTATCCACAATTTACTATGTAGCACGGCAAAGAATTAATATATTACTTACTCGTAAATAATAATAAATAATAAGTTGGGGCCAAACAAGGGACACGTATGCTATACCACAAACAGGATATTCATGACAACTAATGCTCATAAATTTGGCGCCTAGGTCAACAATAATAAGGAAATATTGACTGCAGATTCTGATTATTACAAAATCTTTATATCGGTGTATGTAGGGGCCCGCTTCAAAACATCATAGCATTTATTATATACGACCAAATGTATCAAATCGGGCATCTGCAGACTCAGAAATCATTACTCTTTTAGAAAAAAAAATTACATAATTGTTTCATAGCGATCTTCGTCTTAATTCGCGCTGAAATTCTCATTTTGCAAATCAATCCCCTACTTTGGCGCGTCGTAGAGCTGCAACTACTGGTCGCAGACAAAAAAAATGAAGAGGTCAAAATTGTAAACGATTTTATCCTATACATATTTTATTTGAACTTTTTTTCGATAGCACTTACCACAACGACGCTATTTCCTGAAAACCGTCGCTACGCAAAGTTTTCATCCCTCCACCCCTCGAGCGGCACCCCTCCGAGGTCGCAAACTTAAGTGTAGTATCAGGGGACCCATGTCTACCATCCCACCAAATTTAATTTCTTTCCGACCTTTTGCGAATAGACCCCTTATTCTTTAACCACCGCTTGGACTAAAAATTAGTGTCTAAAACGCCTCGTTAAATGCTATCTTTTGGTGTAAACTGGTCTAAATCGTTGCAACGAATGATAACTGAGAGTGTAACTGTAACGATAGTAACAGGCGCGTTACACCAGAATGCAGCACTTAATGAGGCGTTTTAGCCACTAATTCTGGCGAATTTTAAAAAATCATTAACAAGACATTAAGAGCTCAAATTTTGGGATTATATTAAGAATAGTGCTGTTGAGGAATGCATTTATTTTTATTTCAAAATTTAAAGTTTGATTTTTTTTCTGGGAAACTGAAATGATTTAAAACTTTAAAATATATGCATATCTAGATTTACCTTATTTATTTTGCCAAAATTTTAATTTTTTAACAAAATTACTTTTGAAATATCCTTGTCCGAAAATTATAAGGGGTGCTGTAATCACCAAAAAAACAAAACAAATAACCATATTTTATTCCATTAGAAAATAAGAGAAAATAGTTTCAACACTAAAATTATTACTTTTTTAACAGACATATTATGAAAAATATTTGTTACTCATAAAATCGTTTTTGTAAGGTATATGCAATGAAAACTCGGAAAATGTATCAAGAAAAAGAAAAAATGAAGAAGATCCCCCTGTTTCTCCCCCACCTGTAATTAGAAGAGGATTACATGCTCCCATTACCAGATCAGTGAATATATTGAACAAAAAAACTCATAGATCAAAGGAACCTACATTAGTACCAAGGCTTACAAGAATACATTTTCAAGAAGATGAAATGATAGGTAATTTAAATAATAATTCTGCTGTATACTGAAAATAATTGTTTTATACGTTCTATTTGTTTATTCAAATTTATAGGGCATCAATCAATGAATTCAAGAAAACTCCAAGAACGAATAGAGCCTGATAATTCTCAAGATTTGGTTAGGAAACATTCCTCTGATCATTCATCAGGTGAAGAAAATGCTCACATTTCTTCAAGAAGAAAAAGGTTATTGCGAAAAAAGAGGAGCATTAGTAGTCTTGAAGATTGGGAAGATACAAGTCAACAAGAAAACACAAATAGGTAAAATTTAGTACCTAAAAATTAGAAAATATTATTGATCTATTAATGAGTGTCTCAATTTAAAGTAGGAATTGCACAAAAAATCTAAATACAAAAAGAGCCTTTTTAATACGTTTATTTTAACTTTCTGGTACTAATATGGTACATGGTTTAAAATTCTTATCACATAGTGGCGGCTCGTGATCATAATATTTGGCGAGGCATGGGAGTAATAATTTAACTAAACAGATTTCTGCACTTTGCCAATAAAATAAATAAGTTTCAACCTGTGCTCGTAAAATATAAATATATATTTTATTGGTCGTTAAATAGACAGAGACAAGGCATACAGATTATGATTTTTTTAATTTAAGTATTCTTATCATTTACATTATTTCAAGAAAACATTTTAAAACTTCGGCTCGTTTATTTTATTCATTAATCCCAAAAATTATATTTGAAATTACCCAACTTTAGAAACTCGTCTAACGAGCCCGTCATGTCCACGAAAAGGTAGTTTCTTATTACACAAAAGACAAAACATTCATTGTTCGTTTTAAAATTTCTCTATTTATATTATGATTTTTAGTATATTTGTTTTTCTGCGCGTATCTAATAACGTTTTTTACCGAGAAGTTACAGTTTACATATTTAATTAATGAGTGAAGTAGATTTTTAAGCTTATATCCAAAATAACATCTAAAGTATTTTTGCGATAAGAAGGCAGTGACGTCTCATGATAAAAAACCTGTGGCGTTGTCAGGTAGAATTTGTTTTCCTTCACTTAGAGATAACATTGTGACAGTGTATTTTTTTAATTATCGCTTTCTTCCATGCTACTGATATCTTGGCTCAGGTTCACTACCAACAAGATAACATTTTCTCATGATTGACGTTTCCCTTTTGCAACATACTGTCCCTTTATCTTTGTCGGTTATAAGCAGGTAGGGTTATTTTTGGCCCGGAACACTGCGGCCTTTTGGGTCTATTGTATTCCCCTGCTTTCCCCGTATTTAGGTACTGTCTTTGGAATAGTCCTGTGGTTAATTTTACTAAGTTCCCTACCAAGTGTTCCTGATGCGTTCTTCCGGTTCTAGACCGAAAAGAGTGAGACGCCGCCTAGCAAGAGCTTTACATTCGAAAATCACATGGTATGAGGTTTCTTCCTCTTCCATGCACAGTCTACACGTGATGAGATCATTGTGTAATCCCATGGTAGGTGTTTCAGCAAGCAATGTCCTATTAGTAATCCCACAGTGGTGGATATCTGAGGCCTTGAGAGTTTTAGTACCTCAGTAGCCATGCACGAGTTTAGAGCTTACCGATTCTGTGCCCTCTTATCTGTTTCTAGTGAGTTTGGTGTTTTATGGTTATCCACTTGCTCACTACCTGTCGAGCAGAGGTTTTGCTTATCCCAAATACAGGTTCGGGTCCTGTAAATAGTAGTTTTGATCCCTCTTTGACGAGTTCATCAGCCTTTGCATTTCCTTAAATACTGTTGTGTCCTGGTACTCACGCTAATTTTACCTCACTGTGGATTGCCAGATCATTTAGTATTCCTAGACAGTTCCAGACCAGCTTTGACTTGATTCCATTTGAACCAAGGGCGTTTAAGGCTGCTTGGCTATCTGAATTAAGATGGTTTGTTTTTTATACTTCCTTCTTAAATTCTCTCATACACACAACTCGATTGCATGTATTTCGGCCTGAAATACAGGTTGTTTTCCCAATGAGACGATGATGTTGGAATTTGAATCAACTCTGTGTACGCGAGAGCCTGTTCTGTTGTTAGTTTTGGATCCATCCGTATTCCATACGATACTGCTAAGTAAGTATTTCTCTACCTCCTTAATTACCTCGTTTCAGTTGCATTTTACCTAGAAGAGTGTTGAAGGTTAGGCGGGGTGTCATATGATGTAATCCGATGTTTAATATTATAGGTTCATTTACCTCATGTGTTATTCTGGAAATTATATATGTCCCAGGGGGTTTCAGTTTCAGAAGTCCAGCCTGTATGCACTCATTCTGGCCTTCCCCTTTATGACTAGGTCAAGGGGTGGGAAGTTTAGAATTATTTCCATAGAGGCTGTCGGTGTACTTCTCAGTGCTTTTGTAATACAAATGCATACCAGCCTCTGTACTCCTGAGAGGGTATTGAGGGCTGTTGTCTGGTTTACTTTTGGCCACCAAACAACCGTTCCATAAGTTATCATGGGTCTAATATAACCAATAAACCATTTTCGGTTTTAATTCCAATGTTTTTCTAAATGCTTGTCTCCCTACCATGAGAGATATTTTACACTTGTTTTCGAGAAAAGGTTATGAGTTGTGCCTTGTGAGGGTTTACCAAGAGGTTTTCCCTAACGCATCACATTTCTGTCAGCCTAGTGAATGGTTGCACTGGATGTGGGTACGTGCGATTTTTTAGTCGTGCGATGTCGTAAGACCGTTTGTCGTACAATTGTGAGGTTACATTGTTTGCGATTCGTTGCATTCGTAGTTTCAATTCAAAATGGATGACGAAGGGGATTTAGATTTCCTTAAAAAAAGTTGTTTGAAATTTATGATGTTAAATAAAAAAAGAAAATATTGGGTTAATGATATGTACTTAAGGAGAGACCAGCAAGGGGAGTACGTAACCCTTTTCAAGAAGTTAAGCAAGCAGCCACAAAAGTTGAGTACTTTAGAATTTTGTCTTCAACATTTAATTATATACTAAATAGAATCCACCAACGACTCGAAACATATTCTAATTTTCGATTAGAAAATAAAACTTTTTGCGTACCAAAGGATCAAACTATTCCAAATACAGATATAACTATTCCATATGTGCTCTTGGACGATGAAAACTATCCTTTAAAAGTGTATTTAATGAGACCATATTCTGGTCGTAACCTCAGTGAACAAGAAGAGATTTATAATTATAGACTATCCTGAGCAAGGAGGATTGTTGAATGTGCATTTAGCATACTATGTTCCAAATGGAGGATCCTCAAAAAAGACAAAGACAAAAAATGCCATCCAGACAAAGCAGATATGATTGTTAAATGCGCATGTATTCTTCATAATATAATTATTGATAAAGAAAGATGTATCGAAAATAATTTTAAAATGAACTCTGAGGTAATAAGTGTTACTTGTTTCTTCCATTTTCTTTGCTATCTCTTCTCATCCCTTTTTTACTATAACTCTAGTATGATAATCTTTACATGTTTGATCCAACAACGGCTTCCTCGATTGAACACATAAAATTAAACTTTTCGTCCGTTTTAAATAAATCTTTTAACAAAATCTTCTCAATTATATTATTGAATGTGCCACAGGTGTCAGCTTTCTATATCGTTAATATCGTACGATGTCGCCGAGAAAAACACGCGTTTGTTCTCCTCGTCTAGTCGGCCGACATCGTACGATATAAACTGACTAAAACGCAGTGAATGTAACCGCACACCTTTAAATCAGTTAGTTTGTTTTTACGTCCGAGATCGAACGACTAAAAAATCGCAAGTATCTGCATCCAATGTAACCATTCACTTAGAGCTCTATGCATGAGTTCAAAGACTGTGGTCTGGTGTTTCTCTCGGATAAGGATAACTATGTCATTGACGTTAGCTTGGGCGTACAACCCTTAATTGTTCAGTGTTTCCAGCAGTTCATCTGCCACTAGGTTCAACAGTGGATGTTCACCTGCATAGTTTCACTTGTAATTGGTGTTTGTACTTGTCATCCGCATAACATGTCTTCTATTCACCAGCAGATGGTGTGTCTTCTATGTCAAAAATGATCCGAAGATAATTTCTTGGTTACTGAGTCCCCCCTCTATCTTGGCTACAAGATGATGCAGAGCAGACTCATAAGATTTTCCTGATTTATAGGCATGTTAGTTTGTATGAAATGGTCTCTCTGTCAGAGTGGTTTGCCGGACAAGCTAATCAATCAGTTTTTCCAATCCTTTCAATAAAAATGACACAGATATTGGTCAGTAGGCATTTGCCACGGCATATGTTGGACGCTCTGGTTTAGGTATAAAAACCATTCTGCTTTGTTTCCAGGAATTTGGTACATGTTTATCCACCAAACTTTCCCTGTAGAGCCTACAAATATGCGGTGCCAGTGTTTCTATTGCCTGTTGCAAAAGCACAGGCAATACCTCATCTGGCCCCGGTGATTCGTGTGGGTTAAAGGTGCATATTGCCCATGTTATTTTGTCTGTTGTGACTATCCATTTTACAGTTTCCCACTCTTGGCTGGAGACTATTTTTTGAGAGTTCCAGTTTGAGTGGGTTTGGTTTGCTGCATTTGGGTTTGTTGTGCAATAAGGAAATGAGTTTAAAGATAAAGATAAAAGTAACATGCTGTACAGACTGCCAGCATATATTATTGTTGCCAAGAATGTCCAACTGTACCATCTTTAAATATCTATGTCTCATCCAAAAAAACAAACAACATACAATGTAAAAATGTACGTGTTTAAAAGCAATATGTGACAACTCCATTAAACCACCACGTGGATCATCTTTCTTGTATTTGAAACCATTGTTTTTCTGTCGATTCAATATATAACCACTGAAAAGTTCACGCTCCTGAAGTTTTTATTTAAACTTTTGTAAGGTTATGTATTCCTCTGAAAAAATATTTATGTTAAATAATGTGAATATATTATGTTTGATACACACTCACTGTTTCTGTACATTTCATAAATAATGTTTCGGAAATCATTTTGATCGAAGATATCAATTCCAACAATAGGTTTTGAACGTTGTCGCTTCTTGGTTGGGCTTTTAGGAACTTACCTCTGTTGTGTTTGACTGTAATACGATTCACCATTGTAAGTCTTCTCCAACTCTCTGAAATATATATTTATATAGCATAGGCACTCTAAGTTTCATGAATCTAACCCTACATTCAGCAGCATGTATTAATTTTTTTTTATTTATTGTATGTAAATAATCATTACACCACACACTGAAGACTGACACAATCAATTAGTTATGAAAATAATTGTTTAGTAATGTTTCTTA